GTGTTTTATTTTAAGTTGTATTTTCATGGCGTTCTTCTCAACGCGGTCCCCTCCCGTGTCCCCCCGAGCAGGCACAGAGCTGCCCAGAGAGCCGCTCGGCTCCCCCGAGAAACGAAAATCCCAAGTACCCTCTGGGACAGGGACGGAGAAGGAAGGGCTCAGCGTGAAGGATGGCCCACGGGCAGCGAGGTTTGGCCGTGGGGCTGGGGCAGGCTGCGGGCAGCGCGGGGAGCTAAGCACCTCGCACGACGGCCCAGCCCACGGCAATTATTGCCCCCTCGCTACACCCGTGCCAGCAGGTCACCAGCCAGAGGAAGGTGTTCGTTAGAATTACAGGATGTTAATTAAACAACCATATAAAAGGGAGCTGGGCCAGGCAAAGCCATCACAGGGTGCTGAAGAGAGAACATCCAGCAGAATCACAGAATGGTAGGGGTTGGAAGGGACCTCTGTGGGTCATCGAGTCCAACCCTCCCAGCCAGGTGACAGACAACGCCTCGGACTGCGAACCTCGCCGGATTAATCCGCTAACCAATTTCCAGTGCAGACTCAAAAAGCCACCTGCACCAGCATTCTCCCTGCCTAACCCCGTGCCCGGACTCGTTCTGCAAACCCTTGTATTTATGGGGCTGCCAGGCACAAGAAAGCCTTTTTCCAATATTTAATTTCTCAGGTGTCCTCATCTCATGCATCGCTGCTGCTTTTATGCAGCCATAAAGAAGCGCTCAGCGCTGCTCCCTCCGCCTGGCACGACGGGTTGGGCCGGCTTCGCTCTACCCACGCTCGCCAAAAAGAAACGGGTGTCCGGCCCTCTCACCCTCCTCGGATGTTCAAGGCCAGGTTGGACGGGGCTCTGAGCAACCTGGTCTGATTGAAGATGTCCCTGGCTCGCTGCAGGGGGGTTGGGCTAGGTGACCTCTAAAGGTCCCTTCCAACCCAAAGCATTCTCTATTCTGTGCTTCCAAACCCAGCACAGCCAGGACCCACTGCTGGTTGGTGCCACCGACTCGGCCGCAAAGGCGCCCAGATGCCAGCGGAAGGGCTGGCACCCCGCACCCTGGGGAGCTACCGTGACTCTCCCCGGAGCATGGCAGGGGGAG